ATAAGATTTTCAAGGGGACCATAGTGATCAATGTTGAGACTTGAGAGACATATGTAAATAAATCTCATTTTTGGTATTTTGAAATCTTTAGACTCTAAAATGAATTACGAACACAAGATGAAAAATCAAGAAAAAAAAGTTAAAGTTTAATATAATTACTCTCGAATAACTTAACTTTAAAGTGAGATAATCATATAAAATGACATAATGCCAAAGAGCGTAAAAAGTTACGAGTTTAAATCTATTAGTGTCGTTGAAGAGAAAAACAAACTAGTATTAGTATTATTATGCTTTTTAATCTTAAACACATGGGCGTTGACATATTTTACATAAAGATATTTATGGTTTGTCTGTGTCGATTTGCGATCGATAATGTAAGCAAGCTCATACAATGAATGTTGTCATCCAAGAGAAACACTATTTTTATATTTGGTCCAAAATATTTAATAATTTAAATGTTTAAATGAAATAATGCACATAAAATAGTTAGAAAATATAAAAGAAGTTTTAACTAACATATAAGGAGATGATACAAATTAGTAATTATAATGCAAAAGTTAATGCTCTTTGCCTCATATAATCATTGAAGCATATGGCTAATAATGATGAGCAAACCAAATATGGAAATTCTTTTGATGATTTTTGCCATAATGAATGAAATTCTTTTGATGAATTTTAAAGTGTTTTCTTAAAAAACTTTATTTGATAATAATTACTTAATTAATAAATTTGAATAAATTTAAACGATTAAGATGTAATATATATTCAAAAAATTCTATTGAGATAACTATTGATCATTTTTCCGTTCATTATTATCACTTATTATCACTATCACTCTATACCAAAAATAATCTTTAGTGGTAACTAATTAATGATAATAGCTTAAGTTATTAAATATGCAGTTTTAGTGGTAATTATCACTTTTTTGTAAATGTCTCTAAAGACTATATCGAAATGAGATTTAATGACGATTAACTAATGTCGATAAAAACTTACCATTCTTAATTAATGTAATTATTTATTATCGCTAAAAGTTACTTTTACTATAGTGTCACCTCAACTAGCACCATCATCGATGTCATCGTTTATCACTTTCAATTATCACCATTCACAAACACAATCACAATCACTATCATCTTCAATCACCATAATCAGTCGTCACCATTACTAGGTATTGTATACAATTATTACCATCGACCACAACTACCACAATAGCTATATCAATCAAATAATCACACTATCAATCATTACTATCATTAATTATCACTATCATCGACCAACACCAGTTACACTACTATTAATTATCATCACCATTAATCATTATATACTTTTATAAAAAATATTTAATATAGTATTAACTCGATTATTATTGTTTTATTTATTACTATAAATATTTAACTACTAACATGCATCAATATGAACCATGTGAATAATTTTATTTTATTTTACATGAATTCAACAAAGGCAAAAAGACAGACTGCAGTATGCCTGCATTAGATGTGCTTCATCATTTCATTGACCATTCTAATCATTTTCCTTTTCCATAATATATTGTTTTTTCTTTACTTCTTGAGAAGAAAGTTGCAGGAAATACCTCTCTTCTCTCAAATATAATATTTAATAAATATATATATATATAATTATTTTTAAAAAAAAAAACAGTTTTACCAAATGTAGAATAGGCTAATTAAATAAGCCACAATTTTTTTGAAATTGGACATAATACTTGTTAACCCATCTATTTTAGTCTCAAATAGGACACACATTATATATGTTATCATACATATCTCAATCTAACAACGGCATCCAGATTGTTATCATCACAATTCAAACACACCTCCTACGCTCATGCACTTTTCTTGATCTGATATACCTAACATGCGATTCAATTCTAATTCAAATCGATCGATAGACTTGAATCCTATTCTTAACTGATATAATAAATTCAATCAGACACTCGCCATCTATTAATATTATATATGCAAATCTTTATTCAATCAAAATTCCTTTTTTTTTTATTTGGTCAATACCTAAATTCCATTATATATTGTTAGTGGACAAAGCTAAGCTAAGGGAACAAAAAGGAATTAATGTGTGGCTGGTAGAAATGCAACATCAATTTATTTTTAGCCATATATACATCTTTATCTATTACACCTAATGTTAATGTACTATATTATATATAATATAGACAACATAAATTAATTCAATATATTATCTTGATACCTAGCAACTAGACCAAATATCCTAATGAATGTTAATTTTTTTAAACTTTAATTGGTGTTTTTTTCTCATGTAATTAATTTATATATATAACAAGATATATATATCATTGACTAACGAGTAATTTATGAACAAAGAATCTTAATGATACCAATATAATATATATATATACTGATTTAATATCAATTAAGCGAAATTATCAGCATTAATATCTCAAAAGAAACATAAAAGAAACAAAAAAAGATACTCCCTCCGTCCCATTTTATGTGGCAACATTTCCTTTTTGGTCAGTCCCAAAAAGAATGTCACTTTCCTTATATGGTAAGTATTTAAAGGTGCAATTCCTCTTTTACTCTTGTTGGTCCCACTTAATCTTAAAATAATACTCCAATACATTTATGAGGAGAGAGAAAAGTGAGTGTACTTTTTTAAAGGGCAATTTGGTAAACATTTCAAAGTCTTCATTTATTTCTTAAACTCCGTGCCCGGTCAAATGTTGCCACATAAAATGAGACGGAGGGAGTATATAACATTGGTCAAATCTCAAAGGTGAAACATCCTTTTCATTATTAAGCTAACAGTACTTGTTCCCCTCTTTTTTGTCTTCAAAGTTGTCAAGCTAACTAATCAACACTATTCTGTTATTCAAATCATCTTTTTAGAAATAAAAATCATTTGGTATCAAATATATATATCTTGAGGTCTTAAATATGAAATCACGTTGTGTAGGGTAAATTATATAAAAAAAGCGCTTCCTATCAAGATTCTCTAAATACTTGAAGATGAACCCCATTGTGTCCAACAGATAACCCTTCACTGGAATATTGCACTGTGTAGAACTCTATATGTTGAATTTTCTTGATAGATTTTTTCTAATTTTTTTTAATAGATATTTTATTTCTTAGTAAAAATTCTGACTCTACGACTATTGAGTGAATCTTGTTATTATTATACTATTAACTTAAGGTTAGTGTAGGAATTCATAAATTTTAATTTTGAATCCGCATTTAATAAAAAATACATATGGAAAGGGCATATTATCACACTCTAGGGTTTGATCCTTCTCTGGACTTGTGTGAACACGAAATACTTTACGCACCAAATGATTTTTTTTTGGTCTTTGCTATGTTAATTAACCCCACAACTCACTGAAAAAGTACTGTTAATTAGGAAAACAAAAAGAATGTAAGTAAGTAGAAGCTTGGAATAAAATTTAAAAGCCAATAAATAAACAGTACTACTAATTAATGATTTTATTATTTTTAAAGAATTTATATTTATATGCATGCTGGTCCTGTACATGCACTGTAGTGTCATTACGTATTTATATATAATATAAAAATTTATATACTTTTTATTACTATAAGTGAGAGTCAGTATATTAATTCCACTGTTGTAAGTTTGAGTAGCAAAAGGTCAAAAAAGCAGAATCCAAAGCACTGTTCTAACCTAATCTAAACCCTACTGCTATAAAGCAAACTAACCCTACTTTTGAATAAGACGCGAGCTCGTTTGGTAGAATGTATAAAAATAGTATTGAATATAATATAGTACTGAATATAATGTATACATTAATTAGCTAGTATTAGTATTGTTCTAATACACAGTATTGAAACCAGAATTTTTGCTAAGGAGATTCAAAATATGAATTGGTGAACATACAAATTAGTTGAAGGGGATTCCGTATTTACTATATATGTATAATTTTTTTTTTTAATCATGTATAAATAATAAAATTTTCTATTGAAGGAGGTTTAAATGAATATTCCTTTAAAACTAACCTAGCTCCTCCACTATTTATACACCTTGTTAAACAACCATTACAAAAGTGTTCACCATCTAGATGAATAAGATGTTGAACTCTTAATTAGCGATTTTGGGTTTAAGCTTGACAATGAAGAAAATTTTGTTATGGAGCAAATGTGGAACGAATTTATATTAGTGGGCCCGCCGAAATGGTCCAGATATCGGATGAGAAACAAAAAAAGAAAAGAAAACCTTATATATGCATTCGCCACCGATAGTTGCCCCTTTAACGAGCCTTGTGAATTTGTATTAATCGAAGTTCCAAAACAAACATTGAATACTGAGTGGAAAATAAAAAATATCTTACATATGTATACATAGTATATACATATTGTTATTTTTTCAAATTACTAATCCAACTCTCATAAATTACTTCCATTCAAATTTTAACAGAGATAAAATATTAGGTGATTTTTTCTCAATTGTGTAATCTTAACAGACAGAGTTACCCATTACTTCTTGCTTATAGGAGAGATAAGTATATCGTAAAACACCAACATGGGTTGTGGTGCACTAGTGAGAGTGCTTCACCCTTAACCAGAGGTTTCAGATTCAAGCCCTGGGTATGGAGAAAATCCTGTTGGGAGCGCCACTCCCGAAAAAAAGTATATCGTAAAACACCAACATGGGTTGTGGTGCACTAGTGAGAGTGCTTCACCCTTAACCAGAGGTTTCAGATTCAAGCCCTGGGTATGGAGAAAATCCTGTTGGGAGCGCCACTCCCGAAAAAAAGTATATCGTAAAACTAGTCAAGATACGCGCAAATTGACTCAAACACCATGATTATAAAAAAAGAAAGTTTAAACTATAGTAGTGATTTTGTATTCTCGTGACCTTTCCACTCTTATCTGTCCTTTCTTCACTTTGATCAAATTTGTCCCAAAAACACCCTTCACCTTACACTATTTTTTCCTGTATATCAAACAAAATATCTTTATAATCTTTTTATAATATTACTCCAATATTTTTATAAAGAAAAAAGTTTCTAAAAAAAATGGGTCCATTTTTTCCAGTACTACTCCTTTTTCATACTCAAATGCAAAGCTTTTTTCTCTAAAGAACACGATCCAAATCGCACTCCGCCGCTCCCCCTTCGAAATTTCTGAATATATATAGAGTTTGAACCAAAATTACTGGATTTCAAATGAGTGACGACTCATAAGATTTGATTTGTTGAAATGGAAGATCAGTATGGAATGGCAGATCTAAGACAATACATGAATGGTGGGCGTTCGATTTTCGGTTCGATCCAACAAGTACCACCAGAGCTGTTACCTGCTACTTCTCACCAGCAACAACAACAACACAGGAATCTTGGGCCGGGCCATCACCAGTATGAGATGGTGATGGGACTGGCCCAAGTTCCTTCGTCTTCATCTGGTCACGGGCTTACTACTCCACATCACCACCACCAACATGAGTTCCTTACGGACTCGAGTACTCCTGTAGCTGTAGCTGCTACAGCTATAGGAACTACTACTACGAGTGCCGGATTTAGTGGAATGGATCAGATGGAGATTGGTGGTGGTGGTGGTGGAGACGGAAGTGGACGGTGGCCGAGACAAGAGACACTTACACTACTTGAAATCAGATCAAGATTGGATTCAAAGTTCAAAGAAGCTAATCAAAAAGGACCCTTATGGGATGAAGTTTCAAGGTACCATAAAATAAAAATATACACACAAAACCTAATATTATTATTATTATTATTATTGTGTGTGTTTTTTATTCACTTGTGTAATCTTATTGTGTCCCTTGGGGAAACTATAAGCCCAATAAAATTGGAACGATACACAGAAGATTAGCGTGATACAAATTAAATCAATTCTTTTTTTAAAAATATCTTCTTCTTATGTTCTTGATATATATAATATTTTTTTTGGTTGATTCATTTGTAAATTAATCCTAGCAATTTCTTTCTTTTACGTACAAATACAAAAAGAGTACATAAAAAATTTTTACTCCTATTTTAGTTCTAGTGAAGGAATTATTTCCAAAATCTTACTCTTAATATGTTCTTGATTTTTTTTTTAATTTTTAATTCTCCAACAGAAGCATTATTCACTTGTTATTGTAAAATAATTTCCAAAAAATTGTTATTTTGAGTTATTACCCTTTTTTTCTTCTTTTGATGAGGAGAATTTTGGGCTATGTTGTTCCTACTCTTCAAAAACATATATCAACAGTTACATGTTGGATCCTCCAGAAATAGTACATTTTTTGGACGATCCAACACGGGTGGTGTGACAATATTTTAGAAGAGTCGGAGCAGCATAGATTTTTGGAAATCTATACATAATTTTGTGTACACTGTTGAAAAGAAAAAGGAAACAATGAGTTTTCTGGAGAAAAAACAGCACTTTTAAGCAAAAACTCACACAGTGAATAAGTTGCCAATTTTGTGTTAGAAAATGACACTACATTGAAGTTCAGTTAGAGAATTAGGTGTTATTTTCATCTTTATTAATACATCACATACCCTTTTTTTTTCTTCTTTTTACCTAGATCAAAATTCCTTTTTGCTTGTTTTTCTTTAGCAAAAATAAAAAATAAAAATTTGTAATTAACTATATATATTCCAAATAGGGATTTTGTATAGTCTCTATCTCTAGGAAATATCAATATATCATCACGTGACACATTGAATCATTTGGGGATTCAAAATTAGGGTTATGTCATGAAATATGAAAAAATCTTTCTGTCGGTCCATAATTTGTTGAATTATTGTTATTACCTTCCTTCCAAAGTAATCGTAAATTTGTGCAGTATATACAATTCGAGATGAGAATTTTCAAAAAATTAAACTTATTTTCTTCCGAGAAATAGTTTCAGAATTAAGTTAAGGATCCCCTTAACATGATTTTGTTACAACGACTCAATTCCAAATAAGTTGTAATTGTAGTTTATAGATTAAGCCATTCCTTATTCTTTGATGTCAGAAGTCATTTTGATATAACATTTTATTTTCTTTCGTCTTAAAATCCCTATATATCTTACTTAGATCATGTCGCTCCATTTAAACTTTTGATCAACCTTAGCTTTCTTTAATCTACATCTTTTTACTAGTAAAAAATTTCACATTAACTAATTATTATAGGATTATGTCTGAGGAACATGGATACCAAAGGACTGGAAAGAAATGTAGAGAGAAATTTGAGAACTTGTACAAGTACTACAAGAAAACTAAAGAGGGTAAAGCTGGAAGACAAGATGGAAAACACTATCGATTTTTTCGACAACTTGAAGCTTTATATGGTGAAACAAGCAATAATATTTCATCTACCTCAACGGAAGTTCTTCATCAGGGAAGTCATTTTCCTTATAATTCCGTTAATAACAACATGAATCAAGATCCTCATAATTTTCACCACGTCCATCAAGGTCCTAAGATATCCGATAGCATAAGTCTATCTAATTCATCTGAATTCAATACGACTTCCTCAGATGATAGTGATCAAGAGAAGAAGAAGAAGAGGAGGGGGAAGAGGAGTTTAAAGGCGAAGATAAAAGATTTCATTGATGGACAAATGAGAAAGTTGATGGAGAAACAAGAAGAATGGTTGGAGAAAATGATGAAAATGATTGAACATAAAGAACAAGAGAGGATATTGAGAGAAGAAGAATGGAGGAATCAAGAGACGATTCGTATGGAAAGGGAACATAAATTTTGGGCTAATGAGAGGGCATGGATAGAAACGCGCGATGCTGCTTTGATGGAGGCTGTGAATAAGCTAAGTGGTAAAGATTTGAAGAGTACTCTTGATGAAGAAATGGTTGATAATAGAAGAGGAGATGTGAGAGACAGTCTAAAAGATGATGATGTTGACCAGCACTGGCCTGATAGTGAAATAACTAGGTTAATACAACTTAGGACTAGCATGGAATCAAGATATCAACAATTGGGAATTTCATCATCAATAGATGATCATGATAATGATCATGATCATGTATTATGGGAAGAGATTAGTGAAAAAATGGCTATTTTGGGATATGAAAAAAGTGCTACAATGTGCAAGAAAAGATGGGGTAGCATCAATAGTTACCTAATGAAGTGCAACAAGAAAAGAAAAGAACAAAATTCAACAAGTTTGTTATGTTACAATGGTAATGTACAAATCAACAATCAATATTATGAAGCTGATGGATCATCATGTTTTAGGTACTTAATGGGAGATCATCATCAAAACTTATGGGAAAATTATGAATTGAAATTAAGCAAAGGTGGTGATGGTGGTGGAAATAATTGAAGATGTGTCACAACAAGTACAACAAGATAATTTGTAAGTTTTTTTTTTTTTTACTTAAAAAAAAATAAAGATTGATTGACATGAAGTTATTTGTCTTGGGTTGCTAACTGTTTTTGTGGAACATATTATTGATTTGAAGTTAACTTGTCCTAGCTAGGAGGTTGATCAATTTGGCTACCTAATTTTACTATTTTTATGAGATGTTCTATTTATACTTTTGTATTCAAATTAAGTAATCCAAATGTGGTACTTGTTCTCTTCAATTTGCTAATTTTCTTGGTGTTTGATTATTTTTGCAATACAATGTTTATCCTTTCTTAATTTAGAGGTGTTTCATTTGTGGAATTTGAAATTTTAGAAGTTGAGTAATCGCCAATGGATTATTGATCCATTATTCGATAGGGTGTCAGAGATGGAAAATAGTTAGAGTGTGGGATGGTAATAAAGTTTTTATTTGAAAAATGTTTGATATAAAATATTTTTCGTCATATCGAGCATGTCCTAAGTAAGCCTTTTTCAGAATAACGCTTGCTTTTATAAATTAGGGAGATATGTCAAAACCAGTATGAACCATTAGCTCTTGGTTGGGCCACACATAATCTTTCTTTTAATTATGATTGTTTTTAATAATTAAAAGTTGATATAATATTAAATTCGAAAGACATGATTTTGGGTTAAGTTTGTCTCATAAAACCATGTGAATTTGGGCTGTTTTCAACTAAGATTTCACATCAAATATATAAAAACACATTTTAGGATATTGTAGTAAATGATTTCGTTTTTGTCGAAAAAAAATACTATTTTAGCAATTAAAAAGATATTCTTTAATTAACTTTTCATTCATGATAAAGATGATGTGATTATATTCCACTCAAGTAATTTTACTGTACTTTTCTTGTTTTGTCTAACACTAATTGAAGCGAATAGTAAAATAACAGCTCTATGGAAAAAAAAATTAAATTAGTTTTATAACATTTTATATTCCTCAAATAAGCACTATGTGAGTAATCTATTATAAATTTTGTACTTGAGAATTTTGGAGATTAATAATAATGTAGATACATAGAATATGGACACCATCCTACAAATTAAATGTTACATTGTGGTTCTTGAAGTATATCACAGCCTTAAACACTATGTGTAGGAATAATTCCAAATTATATCTTAAACATGAAGGACCTTAATTTCTTTTAAGTAAATTGAAATCATCATTGTTGAATGACAATATTTCATTAGTAAAATGAAAATTTTGGCAAACTATTCATCCACATTCATAATGTGGACTACTGTTTAACTCAGTGGGTTTGTCATACTTGTCTTATCTTGTCTGCCACTAATTAGTAAAACGTGATATTATAAGGTTAAGTTAAGCATCTTTATCTTAAAATAAGCTTTTTCCCCCTCAAAATTGCATCTTAGGATTTACATACACTTTTTATGATAACCCTCCACCCA